CTTTTAGTCGGTGTTGTACAGGCCACTTAGTAAAGTCTCTAGTGACCATGATATACGCTCGTATGAGATACCTTGGAACGTTTTTTAAATATAAACGACCCTGAAGGCAATAGAAATGCGCTTACTTTATAAAACTTTTAGTAGGTGTTGTACATACACTTGCAGGTCTATCACTTATCGTCAAGTACTGTCTGCCATCATTTATCTAGGCTTCATGAGGAACTATCCACTGTGGCGGGCGAGTAAGAATGGTCACACCGATGTGGTCCGCTTGCTGTTGGGCTCTGATAAAGTCAACCCTGGTGAGTACTGAGTCACAAAATTCAGTTATATTTCAAAAGTAAGAGACTTCGCTCAACTGATAGGAATCTCCAAAAATGTTATTCTGTGTTCGGCTGTGAAGTTATTATGTATCAGTACAGTATAGCTTTGTACTTGGAAATTTGGGTGCTGTATATGGCATTGTCACCACGCTCAGTGTTGTTGACGTTGCGCTTATGACAATTCTACCATCATCTACTTGTAAAGGTAGGCCCTGTTCTATATGTTTCAAACACGGTGGATCCTTATTATTTTTGGTTTTGTTCGACTGTTTATAGGGGATGACAAAAGTGTTGCCCTGCGAGTAGCATGCGAAGAAGGGCACATTGAGATCGTAAGGATGATGTTAGCTTTGCCGCATACTCAATTTGTAGATCCAGGCATCGAGAATGGCTTTTGTCTTCGGAAGGCAATTGACAATAGGCATTCGGAGGTCGTGAGAATGCTGCTACAGGATATGCGGTGCGCTTTATATGTACATGATTGTGTAAATATTGGTTACGACTTCCCGTGAGTACTACACAAATAAGATGTTATACGAAATGCTAATCGTGCGCTTCGAGAACATTTGAGAATAGAATACATCGACCATTCGCGTCATAAAACCCGGCCGAGTTTTTCCGTCCCGTTTGGGGATGTTTTGTCTAACCGTATATATTTATCAAATACGAGTGCCTCTATTGTGCAGGGTGGACCCCTCAGCGGACCACAACTCGGCTCTGCAGATTGCTTGTGAAAGGAATGATCCCGCGGTTGTTCAGTTGTTGTTAAATGTATGCAACGTTATTTCTCTCGAAATTGCTGGGGGGGGTTTCGGATGGCTAATATGGAAATTTCGTGTGTATTTGGTTTGCAGGCCCACTGTCACTTAAATGTTGAATTGTTTTTCTTTCGGCTAGTTGACGGGTAGGGTGTATGGGCCGACCTTCACGCTATAGCTGTCTATTGAGTGGTTTGCTCACGGTTTACACCCGATTAGCTGTTATCGTTCATTTTTCTTACATCACTCGCCGTTATAATTTGGGTTATATGCGGAATTAAGCACCAATTCTGGAGGACCAGCATCCTGAGCATGCTATCCCTTCAACTCTGTGCATATTTTTTGATAGAACCCAGCCGTCGATCCGACTATGGACAATAGTAATTGCTTGGTTTTGGCGAGTAAGGCCGGAAATCTGGCGGCAGTACTAGTACTACTGGCGGACGGGCGCGTGAATGCTAACGCACGAACCGGATTTGCTTTGAAAGCCGCTAATTCTCGTAAACATAAGGTGCATTTCTCTCTATTGATAGATTTCGCGGTGTTTTGTATGTACTTCTGTGTCTCGGAACAATTCAGCACAATTCAGTTATCTTAGCACTACCGACTATATATTAAACCGGGAAATCCGTTGCGCCCGTGTATTCTGTGTACGAATCCCAGGAAGTGGCAAGACTGCTGAAAGCCTACATGAGAGGTGGCACTGCCGCCGTTAGTGATAACATTACGAAGGCTCGTCAATCTTTTTCGGGAGAGTCAATGATACATCGCACTGATTCTGTGGTCCCAGTGTCCGCTAGAGCGAGTTGTCCTCAGGACAATCGCAGAACGAGCGGTATGTTGCTATACCCATAGTATGAATGATTGCGAGTTTAGACATCGTAAAGAGTTCAAAATGGTGTATCGAGGGTAATTTAAATATCACGAAAATCGAATGCCCATGGTGTGCTTAACTGACAGTCTGTCTGACTATTTATTCTGTACCAATCGGACTAACTAAATCGCCAACAAACTCCACCAGAGGAAGAATTGGCTGATAGACGTGGAAGTACTTTGGCCTACTTTTCGGATCTTATCATGGGGAAGCGAAAATCTACAGAAAGCGGTTCTGTCGGAAGTTCCAAAGCGAATACTGGACGACGACCAACAAAAAGTGCCGCCGTTTGAGGTGAGATGCTTTCTGATTATACTGCCGTAGTTTACCTTGAGAGTAGTTTGACTATAAAGCAGAATACATAAAGAGTATTTGAATTGTGATAATTCATTATGGTACGGACGAATTACTGTTGTGCTTTAATCTGACGCATCACATGAAGTTTTCAACATGATATGATCGGTTTGATGTGCAGTATATCCTGTTGTTAGTTCTCGCCTTGGAGGTGTGAATCCAGCAGATTTTCTTTTGAAGTAAAATATACTCCTTGTTCTGGCCCTCTTGTTTAATTTATCTCTGCGCGTGCGCTTGAATTTTGATCGTTGTGTCTGATTGTTATTATACGTCTACTTCAGCGACTTTGAGTTCAATAAGACAGAGTGTCTCGATTTAATGCCGTGCTTTTGATACCTCATGGGTGTTCTAGAGCACAGGCTACCAAAGCGGAAGAATGGGGCGGATTGGAGCCATACATGATTGTGGTTTGTCACACTCTCTCGTTCATCGTCTTGCGTTTGAAAGGGATTTTTTTCTGACGGGCAGACAAAAAAGCTT